TTTTTTTTTTTTTTCCTCCGGTCAAAACAGTTATGACAAACTTGCCAGGTTTTCAGAGCTTTTTGGATTTACAGATTGTAAACGAAAGTGGACCATACATTTGCGATGGAAAACAACCAAAAAAAGGTATGAGTCACCGGTCACAAGTACAGCAGCTCCGCTCCCTGCAGGATTCTAACCATGACCAACATTTGTTGAGCATTTGCTTTGTCCCAGATATTGTGCTAAATGCTTTCAAATATGCAGTCTCAACCACATCATTCACACCATGACTCTGTTGATTTAAGTAATATTACACCCAATTTATAGATGGGACTGAGAGCTTAATATGCCCAGAGTCAGAAAGCTACTAAGTGTGTGTACTAAGTGTGTACTAACTGAGTTACTAAGGTGTGAAGAACTTGGGGATGAACTTTGTGTCTCTTGTTTATTATTTTTGTTCCTGTTATGATTACTATTTAAAGTTTTTATCCCTGTAGGAACGCCTGCCACAGGATGTTTTCAAACTTTTCCTGGTTCCTGCATTTCTGTCCACTGTCACCCTTGCTGCTGCTGCTGCTGCTAAGGCTTTTTCCATCACTGTCCCACCTTATCCTTCCTATTCTACCGCTGCAGTGCTGCTTACCTAGGATGAGCTAGGAAACCAAACAATCAAGCTATTTATAAACAAAGAGTAAATAAATGTTGGTAGATGGTCACAGGTTTCTCCCGTGAAATTTATGACAACTCTCTTGGCTTTCTGCCCACTGACAGGCTCTGGAGAAGGAGGTTGCAAGCTAACATTGAGGCAGGTTGTCTCAGAATGATAATGCACAATGACCATCCTTTAAATAGATTCTTTTCTGGAACAAAAACAGCTAAAAGGGTAAAAGGAAATTTGCTTTATATAAAAGTGCTACTACTGTTTTACATAAAAGTTTTTCTTAAAAAATTGTATGTGAACCCAGTTACTGAAAAGTTAGGTGTTTAAATATCTCAAGGGCATCTACTATTTTGAGAAAAATGTGTGGTGAATACAGAGTCCGATAGTAAATTTTACCTTGTCAAGTATTCTCCAATTTGTTCAGATCTTTATACAACTGTTCTGTTTTGAAAATACAGGTATAGGTCAAAAATATATACATTTTTATATACAAATGAATAAATAAGTAAAACCAAGACCAATGTTCTTGGTAACAGAAAAGAAGAAAAGTATACTTTTGGTAACAGAACGTTTGTCAGTTGTAGGCTTCTGGTAAAATGAGTCTGCAGGTGCCTAGAGGGCACGACCTGTGCTTACTACTGCCTATCCAAGAAGGAACACATTTACTGGAATCGGCACCCACTTTTTTTTATGACCTCCTAGAAGCCAATCCAAATGAGGACGTAAACAAAGCTTCCAGAAGAAAATAAGAAGTATTTTCCCTCAGTCACAACAATACTCAGCCATAGACTCCTCTATCAAAGTTGGGATGAGTTTCCTTTCTAAATAGCGACAGACGAAATTTTAACTACTGACTGGTCTTTTAAATTAAACGTGGTTAAGCAAGTTAATGAAAATCTCAACTTTTTTCCAGAAATGAGAACTGCCACTTAATCTATAGATACTACGAACATGACAAATATTTTATAACTTCTATCTCTTTAAACACCGATCATCATCTTGGGGCACCTGGGTGGCTCAGTCGGTTAAGCATCCGACTTCAGCTCAGGTCATGATCTCGCGGTCCGTGAGTTCGAGCCCCGTGTCAGGCTCTGTGCTGACAGTTCAGGGCCTGGAGCCTGTTTTAGATTGTGTCTCCCTCTCTGTCTGACCCTCCCCCGTTCATGCTGTCTCTCCCTGTCTCAAAAATAAAATAAACATTAAAAACAATTTTTTTAAATAAAAAAAAAATAAAATAAACACCAATAATCTTAAACATTCTCCCGACTTCCACCCCACTAAATAAAGGGTCACATAACTATACTCCTCAAGTACATCCCATACAAGATGTCTTGCTTCTTTCTTTATAACAACTAAAACCAACAGGTACAACCCTGCAACGCCACCATGATTAGTTCTATAAATTAAATGCCCCCAGCTGTGCCTCTGCACTTTTAACTCCTACACAGGTAAGTTTCTAGGCAGTCGGCTGATTCTTCCAGGCCACTCTAATTTTAAAACACAAATTGACTTCAGTAGAATTCAGTTTAATAACTAATTATTAAGGGGCAGCTGGGTGGCTCAGGCAATTAAGTGTCTGACTCAATCAAGAGTCTTCGGCTCAGGTCACGATCTCACGGTTCGTGAGTTCAGGCCCTGTTGTCAGGCTCTGCACTGATGGCACGGAGCCTGCTTGGGATTCTCTCTCTCTCCCTCACTCTCTGCCCCTCCCCCACTCTCTAAATAAATAAATAAATAAATATTTTAAAAAATAACTGATCATTAAATAAAAGTAATTTGACTTAATCACTTCGTGACATCTTTAATTAAAGACACCTCCTAAACATACGACCAGCATCCAGCTACCTATCTCTACAATGTATTTTCATTTTCTTAGAGTGCAATCGTATAAAGTACAAGTCTGAGGTTCTGTGGCTTTAACCACAGATTTATAAGAAAAATAAAATTGGTGTTCTAGTACCATTCTGCATTTTATGACAAGTTTACATCCAAATCCACACTTTCAACAGCTAGTGTACAACATTCACTCAAATAGAAGAACTTAAAAATATTTTAAATAGAACTCACCCAATAAAGGTAACGAGTGAAAGAATTTGGCACCCAAAGGGCTAGCTGACAGTGACAATGTTTTAGGTCAAAGAGTACTCACTACTAGAAAATGGTGATCAGTGGTTCCTTATGATGTAAAATCTCTGAACACACAGGTCAGGGAACTATGCAAGTGGCCCTTAAAAATATGAATACAAATGCTCAATTTCACTCATAAGAGAAACAAAAGCAAAAGCCACCCCGAGATACCAATTCTCCCTATCAGCCTGTGAAGAACCCAAGCGGACAATAAACTTCTTGCTGAGGCTGGGGGCAGACACCCACACAGCTGGCAGGAAGGCAAAATGCTATGACCCCAGCAGAGCAGAATTCATTAATATCTAACAAAGTGACATAGCTATTTACCCTCTTCCAGGGACCCATCCTAAAGAGACACCTCCTTCAGCAGGAAAAAACAACGTGCACAGTTATCCACCACGAGGTCCCCAATGTCCACCAAGAAGAACCTGGCGTGACACTGCTCTGCAGTCATGGCTGAATATACAGAGCTGTGAAAGCAATGACAGCCTCTTTGAACTAAGAAAAATATTTCCTGGAAATCACTTCTTAAGTGAAAAGAGTGAAATACGGAAAAGCGCATATGGAATTTGTTTACGTAGCAGCAAGGATCAGAAGAATAAACATAAAATACTACCTGTTTTCAGAAAAGAAACACAAGAAAAAAATTAGAGACTAATGAAAAGAGTTACCCAAAGGGCAGAGTTACAAATAGGGTACAGGGAGAGTCTGAGATCAAGGCTTCTGGAGTACAGCTTTCTCTAAACAGTTCTAACTTTTGAGCCATATCAATGTTTTATATATTCAGAAATTACACAAAAAAGGTGAAGAGTAAATCGTAGTAATAAATGCAGAAACATTAATTTCACTGTATATCAAATTGCTAGCATAGAGAAAAAAAATCACTTCAAATAACTTTTAAACTTTAAACTTCAATACTCTGGAATATGTATTTTTAAAGTTTTTTTTAATGTTTATTTACTTTTTGAGAGAGAGAGAGAGCACAAGTAGGGGAGGGTCAGAGAAAGAGGGAGACACAGAATCCAAAGCAGGCTCCAGGCTCTGAGCTGTCAGCACAGAGCCCGATGCGGGGCTCAAACCCACAAACCATGAGATCATGACCTGAATCGAAGTTGGACTTAACTGAGCTTAACCGACTGAGCCACCCAGGTGCCCCACTATGGAATATATTCAAGGACAAAAAAGGGCAAAGGAATCTTAAATTTTACTTAATCTGTTTCTTGTTACTAGTAGTTCTGACATTGTAATTTTGTAACTATTATATATATGATTACATATTTTAACATAATCATAATTATTATAACCATAATAAATATATTTACTATTTGCTTTATATCACCATATATAATTATATTTACTACTACTTTAATATCATATTTACTGTTTGCTTTATACTTATATACAAGCAATCATTACATTACAAATATATATTCACACAAAGCAAATAGTAAATATATTACTATAACTGAGAGCTAAGATTTTCCCTGTAAAGAGATAAAAAACACACATAGAAGCAAAGACAAGAGCTCTATACTGCTGAAGTTTGATTGAAAATATCTACCTGGCTCATGAGTTCCATTATAGTTTTTTACTTTTATTTATCCAAGGTGATGTATATACTGAATGCACTCGTGAGTTACACAAACACACATACATTTCCCACTCTGTCCCCTCAAAGAGCCCAGAAGGAGTTAACACCAGCAGCAAGCATGCTAAAAGAAACCAGAGAATTTTGGATAAAGATGATTCCAAATCTTGGGACAAGCAAAGTACAGGGTGAGCCTGTGACAGATTATTCTAGGCAGCACAGAAGCACTAATGGGGTCATGTCAAAAGGACACAGCAGCTAGCCTGAGGG